AAATCTGAAAAATGACTATGACTGATTTGATCTCGGACAATTTTTTATATTTTTCGATTTCTGCAATAAAAATTTTTTGAAAATTTTTTCGAGTCAAAAATCGAAAAATCTGAGAAATGACTATGACTGACTTGACCTCGGACAATTTTTTATATTTTTCGATTTCTGCAATAAAAATTTTTCGAAAATTTTTTTGAGTCAAAAATTGAAAAATCTGAAAAATGACTATGACTGACTTGACCTCGGACAATTTTTTATATTTTTCGATTTCGGCATTTAAAATTTTTCGAAAATTTTTTTGAACTAAAAATCGAAAAATCTGAAAAATGACTATGACTGATTTGACCTCGGACAATTTTTTATATTTTTTTATTTCTGCAATAAAAATTTTTCAAAAATTTTGTCGAGTCAAAAATCGAAAAATCTGAAAAATGACTATGACTGACTTGACCTTGGACAATTTTTTATATTTTTCGATTTCTGCAATAAATATTTTTTGAAAATTTTTTTGAACCAATATTCGAAAAATCTAAAAAATGACTGACTGATTTGACCTCGGACAATCTTTTATATTTTTCTATTTTTTTTTTTAATTTTTCAAGCCTGTTGATTGGCTGCAAAAAAGATAAGTCGGATCTCTCTATTCTATAGCCAATCAATAGGTTTGAAATGCTATGTCGTACGACATAAAAAAAAGGACAAATGTAATATTAGCCTTATGCTAAAAATCGCTCTGTAGAGAGATTCGTAATCAGGTAATTCTCCTGATTACGCAATTGAATTTCGCAATTATATTGCGATTTTATCAATATTTTAGCCGTAATTTGGGATAAGAAAAACTCGTTTTCGACCTAGAGGTCTCCACTCCTGCCGTGGCCCTTAATAAATATCTTGTCGGTGTGCTTCTATGTACTGTGTGGCATCTATGGCTAATTCATATACGTCCATCAATTTTCAAAGAAATGCGGACCTCTATGTCCTCTTTTTGCTTTACGGTATTTGAGTAATATAAACGTTTCTCTCATTTGAAAAAGACGAGTTACGAGCATTATCTTTCGAATTTTTTTAAATTGATGTGCAACTATGTCTGAGATTAAAGATGATCCGCGAGAAGTTCTTGTTCTTCTCAATTCACTAGGATTCGTCGGCATCACTGCGATTCAACTAAAAGCTTTTATGAAAGGTAAGTGCCACGTTTTTCATTTTTCTTTTCTCTCGTTCTACCCAGTTATTTTATTTGTATGCATGTCTCCTATAATGATTATTATTATTATTATTATTATTATACAACGTGATCGATACATATATGCTCGTTTATATTATTTCTTTTTCTTTTGTTATTGCGTTATATGTGTTTATGAAATATCTACTTTGTTACAAGACAATTGGAAGAGAGATTTTATTAAATTTTTCTTTCTAGATTTGAAGGTATACAGAAAGATAAAAGAACGCGAAAGACAGCAACGGAAAGAAGAGATTAAAACAAAAATAGTTAACAAACAACAGGCTCTACTCAAACAAGTTTATAGACATTGCGATACAGTAGATTATTCCTCAAGTAATATCGTTCCTTCTGAATCTTCAAATTCTCTCGATGATGAGTCAGTGGTAAAAGTTCGAATAAGATGTATTCCCAAGGAAGAGAGAGAGGCTATACAAAAACAAAAATGTTCCAAAACTGTGATAAAATCCGACGAGAAATTATCACAAACAAAATACAATGAGCAAGATGTTATTCAAGTAACTGATGGATCTGACAGAATTTATTGTGAACAAAATTATTCTAATGTTAAATTTTATCCACTTGTCAGAAGTTCAAAAGACATGAACAAACAAGATTCTAAATATTTAGCAAAAAATAGTCATTTGACAGAAAGATGCAAGCAAAATTTAAAAATAGAGGAACGGATGAAACCAGCGACCTTAGTACAAGAGCATCCATCGAGTGCGCCTGTTTTATCAAATCATATAAGCCGATCAGAATTAAAAAACGTTATATCAGATCCAACTGGAAACGTGCGCACGCAAAGTACTTTATCTGCAAGATCATCCATTCATTCCGGACACAAATCATGTAAGTTGTACAAGAGTTTTATATATATATGAGAAAGTTCTTAAGAATTTTGGGTTATTTGTGTATCCAGTTATTCGACCATGGAGATTACAGTCTGAGGTACAGAAAAATATCACCAATAAAAAATGTGATCCTGTTGCTCTTTACCAAAAGTACCAACAAGAATGGAAGCAGATATCTTTTCCTGGAGAAGCAAAACACTCGAAAGTTAGATGGGCTGTGCGAGAAAAAATGCTTGGTACTGATCCACATCCCTTGGTAAGCTCTACAAATTGTTTCATTGTCAATTATGAATAAGCATTCAAGTTTTGTTATAAAATTTATGTTAAAAAGTTTTTTAATTTTAGCCACTTTCAAAAAAGTCGATGGCTCCCATGCCGATATTAAAGAGGAAGTGATAACGAACTGCTTAGGGAAAGGAAATAAACACGTATAGAAAATTGATTTGATAAATAATACGACAATAATTAACTATTTTACTTTATCTAATATTTTTTTTATTATTTGACTTGTATTTGATATCTGTATTGCGATACAGATATTTTAAATATGTACATACACAAGCGATGCATTCTGTATATATAAACAGTAATACATATACAAGATTTTAATTTTATCAGACATTAAGAACTGTCAATTCCTCATTGTTGATTGAGTTTAAATGGACGTGATAATTTATTACTGTCTGCCCTATGTAGATGATAAAGCAATTTTTCTTCTATTAGTCTGGCTGCTTTTTCCGTAAGTATCAGAGTGTTGTGTTTCAACATGCTATACACGTTCAGACCTATAGACAATAATAAGAATCTCCTTTACTAATTGAAAAAAAAATTGTGATTGATTTAAATATCAAACTTTATTTAATCTAGAAGCATCTTAAAATGTTGAGACACAAAAACATGTATGCATCTTTCATTGAAAGCATAAGATATGATCTACATAAGGATGGAATTTTAGGATATTTTTAAGTTTATGCACATAAAAATTAAACCACTAGATAAATCTATTGCACAAGCATATTTACTCCATAACTTAATTAGTGTGAACTTGATTGTGAACTGAATTTAATTTGATGTGCATTAATGGGGATTTGCTTAGATTTCAGATTCATATGGAATTTATGTGTGAAATTGTAGGTATAATATTGCATAAATATACTTACCATAAACGGGCATTAGATTAACATGCTTAATTTGATCAGTAGCTAATGTAATATTTGGAGGCATAATATCATAGCTGTCTACAAAAAGAACAGATGGTCCCCAATTCCTCTCCTCGATTAGCTGTTCTATATAGGAAGGTTCTGACGTTGGAATTTCTAATTCATCGACTATATGTAGATCGTCTTGTGCGAGTTTGGCAGACAGCGTTGCCGTAAGACCTGCTAGACGGGTGTAAAATGGCAACATATAAAAATGTGGCGTTGGAGAGCGAGGACCATGTGCCACTCCACCACCTCTCCACAGTGGTGAACGTATACTTCCATGGCGAGCTCGGCCCGTTCCTTTTTGTGGCCAAGGCTTTCTACCACCACCTCGGACTTCGGCACGCGTTTTTGTATGAGCGTATGACTAAACAAAAAAGATACAAGTCTTATACACTTGACTCGACTTCAAATACATATACATATATATGTATATATATATATCTGTCTCTTATACACATCTCTGAGCGGGCTGGCAAG